TTTCAAGCGCTTTCAAAGATATGGTTGCATTGAAAAACTTTCGTAACACATTTTCGACAAATATTAAAATTTTGAATCTTTGAAATCTTGAGTTACATTTACCAGTCAACAAATTCTTGATTATATCAAACCTTTTAATATTAGCAATATGTTTATTATAAATATCTGGAAACCTTTTTATATTTCTTGTCGTATAGACTAAACACCAAACACATATTCAAACAAAAATTATAATGTTGAATACGTCGACATTATAATCATAAAATTAACTGTAGAACAAGTATTACGTGTAAAAATATACATCGATCATGCCGAAATCAATAACTTAACCGAATCGGCCGAAAAATTATTCGGCTAATTTTTAACAGGTGTTTCAGAATTTATGAAAACAACTCCGGCCGGGCCTGTCCCATGAACGAGAATCAATTAATTTAGTTTGCACGGCCTAATTTACAAAATTGGTCCATATGACTATATACATAAAATTGGCGCAAAGGTTAATTTACTCTGATCAAATCTGCTTTCTGTAAAACTGAATTACTCTTATTTTCATTGTTCTTGAAATAACTAAAAAAAAATTTCGTTTCTTTCTGAGTAATGTGTTCGTATTTTAGGCTCATTGATCTATATCGGAATCTTCCGGGTCTCATCAAATTTGGTGTCTTAAATATATCAAGCATTTGATGACAGGTGACTTGGTGCACCACAGAACGCGAAGGGTATTTTTCATAAGCAAAATTATTGAACCATTATTCCACGTTACACCTGGTCTTGCAATCTGATTGGTTGACCAGGTGGGCTAGGTGCTGCAAAAAGAAGGAGAATCATTTTTTTATTTAAGAGGTGTATTAATTATATTTTCTTAGGATTTTTTTTTATAGCACTCGGCCCGATATAATCCATATTTTTAAATGCACCGACTGATATCTGACCTTTATACTCACCAACTTAATGCGAATACAGAAATAAGGTATAGTGCAATAGTAAATATTCGAGACTTAAATATGCATTAATAAAGATAATACAATAATAAATATTTGTGAAACTTGAAATGATTTATTTTAAAATATAATGATTAGCAATTAACGAGAATAAGTAGTGTATACCAAAAACGAGAATAAATAGAAACGTAATGAAACAAAGTGCATACCAGTGTATAGTCAATAATTAGCTTTTTGTTCATAATTTTGATTGGATGTTGTTATTTTGGAATCTTTATTAAACGATCTAAATTCTTTTATGGGGAATAGACTAGGAAAATCACCGTTTGAAAGTAAGTTTCGAACAGTGGTTTTCCTAGTCCACTCCCCACTCACATATAAGTTATTCAAACTCATGGATATTTACTAATATATCCGATTTATTTAGTGAGATCCACTATATCTATTACAGCAGTTACATCTATTAAAACCATTGCATCACTATCCCTATTACGGCAAAAAATTACAGCTTAAGAATAAAAGGTTACAACCTTCCAACTTTGCTAAACTTTTTACAGCATGTAACCTTAATCCGATCCGCTCTCACTGCCTAAAACTTCTTCAGGCTCAGATAATTCAGTACCATCGTCTGAACCAAAAACCTCTTTATAATCATCATCGCCTGCCTTTTCCGATACCGATGTTATAGAGTCTGTTGCAAAAATTTCTCGAGATAATTTGGAAGTGGATGAAGTTTGACTAATGTTTGAAACAGATCGACTCATCGGTTCACTTATTTTTTCCTGCGAACTAACAATCATCTCATCTCCGTCTATTCTAAAATCAGTCGAAATTCCATTTGAAAGTGAACTAAGATCATCGGACGTTTGTTGAGAATAATCATTCGTTGAGATTCTTGCCACTTTGCTTGCAAGACTGGATTGAGTTGATCGTGTTGATCGTGTTGATTGGCGTCCTAAAGAGTCTTGAGAGTCGGCATCATCGTCATAATCGATATATTTTCGCTTTGCACTTTCACGAGCAGCTTTCGCCCGCGTCATATGTGGTCCTGCAGAATAATTATAAGCTTCGTCATATCTACTTTTAGTATATGAGGTAGAAGATAATGTTGATGCAGATTTTTTGTCAGGTTCAAGACCTATCGCTCTCCTTGTACCACTGCGAGTACGACTAGCAATAACTTCAGAATTCGCGTGTAATAAAGCAACTCTCTGTGCTAGTTTTTCTTGACGCAATTTTCGAGCTTCCCGTCTCTCCTTTGCCTAATAGTAAATTATATTAATGATTAAGAATTTAAAATATAATTATATTAAAAAATAATGATCACCTCAATAGATTGTTTAATAGCAGGTATGAGTTCTTTCGTCACTTTGTTGTAAAAAGCTTTATCTTTACCACCGGACGACTTCAACTCTTTAGGGTCATTAATATAATTTTCAAGATCTTCTAAAGTTGTTGATATAACCTCCCAGTTGTATTTTTTAGATTTGCTGCCTTTATGAGGAGTTATAGTCTCCCGATAAACTCTTGCACCATCTAATTATTGTTAAAACAAATTATAAATATAAACTTTCATCGAGCATTTCAATGTATTATCCAAACTTTTCCAAACCTACATCCAAAATAGTAAAATTTTCGTCCTTTTTTATCTTCACCATAAGGTTCTACATCCAAAGAATTCACCTCATTTCGTTTTGATGATCTGTATTCTTGTTCAATTAACTTGCGTACTTCTTTACCTTCCTGTAATTGCCATGTTACAAGATTGTTCAAAATCAAGACCTGTAAAAACATTATATTAACTCTATATTTAATTTAAAAGTAACAACATAATCATATAAATCATATCAATTAACCTTATCTCTAATATCAAGTTCATATAATTTTCAGGATCTTCTAAAGTTGTTGATATAACCTCCCAGTTGTATTTTTTAGATTTGCTGCCTTTATGAGGAGTTATA